CAAACAAGCTGGGTGTGGTAAAAAATGCAGTTCAGAAGGTCTGATTACGAAGTTTTTATTACTTCATATAAATGGGCAAATTATGGTGTTGATTGTTATATTATCATTATTATATACTTAATGTTATAAAAGTTTAGAGAAAAGTGCCAAAATTAAAAATAAAATAATGAAAATCTCTATTATTGATTTAGCAACTTTTTTTAATTCAATACATCGATGAAATTTTTAAAAACATTTAATTTTATATCAAAATTCTTTTTGACAACTTTTCCCCTCAGATCACATTTTTAATTCTCTATTTAACAACTTAGTGAATTTAAATTTTTGGACACTATTATTAAAATGATCAGATGACTTTTTCCCCATATTTGTCAATCGTATTCACGCATATGGATACCACCATTGTTAATAAATAAAAAATAATAAATAAGGGTGTATAATTCGAAAATTAAAGTACGAAATTTGGAAATATGAAAATTATCACTTCAATTTCCTCTGCGAAATTATGGAATCATCAATCCTCATAACCTCAAAGTGAAATCAAACTAAATAAAAATTGAAAAAGCTGTATCCTCGAGTTTACACCTCACTACTTTACTATTTAAGCCACCGGAGCTCCGATAACACTCCAGCCATAACATTTTGCAATCAATTCCATCGAATGGTAGCAGAGTGTGAATTCTTCATTATAAAGTCTTCATTTAGGTTTAATTTCAGACCCTCTTCTACAATTATGGGCAACAACTCAATTTTTTCACAGAAGCAAATCTTTCATTGTAGTCAACCAGATTTTTGGTCGAATCCTCTGATTAACTTTCTTGGTTTCTGTACTATTTTGTCTTTAGTATAATTTTATAGTCTCATCCCAACATTTCTGGTATTTTTATTTCAATTATTTTTAACGAAATATGTGAAATAGTTTTATTTAACTTAATAAATGTATGTAGAGAGTAGACTCAATATACGAGCTGGTGAACACATTAGATATCCAGATAAGTCCAATTTTGGACATCATATTAAATTCAACAATTATAACTTCACTCCTTCTGAGAATGTTCTTCATAATATTTTTAATTGCAACTTTAAACTAAATCTTCTTGAAGACCTTGAGATACATAGAGAGTTTAATAAACCAAATGTCACATGTGTTAACACTCAAATTCATCTCAATAGCAAAGTTCCTCCTCTCTTTAATAGTATTGGCAACAGTTGGTCTGAAGTTACCTAGTCAGCTTCTCCTTTAATCTTCTTTGCAGCGGAGTTGATCATGTCGTTTCCAGCGATTGCTGATTTCGTGGCCAGGACGGTTTTTCCTCCTCTTTTCAGATGGAAAAGCTGGTCTGCCTGCGACTTCGGTTTCGCTGGAGCTGGTCTGCTCAATTCTGTTGTTTGTTTTCAGTCTGGCACCTTTATAAATTTTTTTTTCCACCTTCATTTACTGTATAACCTATAATTCTATTTAATTAATTGTTATTATTTGTTGTTTAATAATTTAAAGTCCCGCCATAACTTAACCTTGCTTGCTCAGTGGCACCAACCCACTTTTATCATTTTTAATATCAACCTTTTGACAATTTTTAATAGATTTGTTTGACTATTTTACTACAATTTGATGGCACTGTTAGAAGGTCACGTATTGTATCAGGCAACAACTGAACGTTTCTGGGCACTTTATTTTCATATTTTTCAATAACTTTCAATAATAAAAATATAATTCAACCAGCCACATTCTATATTTATATTTGACGATGTTATTTGTAAAAATCGAGATGCTATTAGATCATATTTTAGTATGGGACGTCACAGAAATATACATTGTTTTAATTTGGTTCAAACATATTCTAAAATTCCAAAACAATTAATTAGAGATAATTCAAATCTATTTATTTTTAGACCATGTAGCTCCAGATGTTTCTTTTAAGAAATGTGTGTAGAATGGTGAAGTGAAAAACATGGTAGATAGATATAATAAAGGATTCGATAGCTTTATATACCATTAAACAATAAAATATTCATTATTTTTCAAGGTGGCGTATGTTTTCCATAAGAAAATGTATAGCAATAAAAAATACGAACTTTTTAAATTATTTTTCTCAAGATAATTTTAATGAAACTTAATTTTAGAAAACTTTATTACTTTTCACAAAAATACGTGTTTAAAAACATACTTTACTTATGGTATTTTTTTATTTTTAATAAATAAAATGTATAATAGGTAAGGCGCAGTGATAAAACTCTAGGATCATGCCTGGGATACATTTTATTTAGTTTGTTTCCACTCTAAGGTTGTGATGATGGATTAATTAATTTCATAGAAACAATTGAAGTATCAATTTTCATATTTCCGAATTTCATTTTAAAAATATCGAAAACAAAGATGGCGTTGGTACCCGTTGGACTGTCCGTTGTCTCTTAACGTGATGGTGTATAAGTGGTGCTGGTACTTGGACACAGATAAACGGCGTGTGCAGTCCAGCCTCTACCTGTCCGTCGGGCAGCATCTCTTCCGCTGGCGTAGGCGCCGGCGCAGGCGCAGGAGGAGGGCGCGTTCGACCGGATCCGCCGAGACGATCCCGATCCCAAGGTACCCGCAAACTGCACAAGTGCCTGTCGACGGCTAGCTACTCAGAGGAGGGATGCCATACGTTGGGTCCCTCGTCCGCAATACCCTCGTCCAACGCCTCGCGACAACAGCTGATGGTCGCTCGACAATATTGCAGTTTTGGTAGTACACAGTCACCGCGCTAATTTTTTATTATTACTATTAAAGAGCTTTCAAGAAATATTGTGGCTGGGCGATAATCCCCCTCTCCCCGATTTGCTTACGACATCCCCATCATTTTGTAAATGGCAAGGTTTAATATTCCCATAAATGCGCAGTTACAACTAATCAGAATAATTTCCCTCAATGACCTAGGTGATTTAATTTAATAACTACAATATATAATATTTTATTTATATATTTATCGCGATATGTCATTTTTCTTCAGTTTAAATGGCCTTTTTAAAAATCCTCAAAATAAAGCTTTTTATAAATATTTATATGACACTCACTTCAATATAATTTTATTTTTTTTCTACTGTTATTATAATTAAAATATTTAAATCTCACTGGGGACATTAGGGAACAAATTTTCTATTGTATTCCTATTCTAGAATTTCTAAAAACGCAATAATAATAATACTACTTGTTATTTACATCATGATCCTCACTACAAGCAATTTTGGGTCGAGTTATCACATTATTTCTCGAAAAATCTTTAAATTACAATAATTATGATCACTATTCACAGAATATTTTTATTATTATCATCACCATCATTATTACGTGACACTTACTGCTAGTTCGAAAATTCCACAAGATGTTTTAAAACAATAATTTTTGGAGCCAGGAAGAATTGGTTGACCATTTTCAAGGAGACTATACATATTATTTTTGTAAACAAATTTTTCCATGTCAATCTATTTAAAATAAATAAACGACCATGCTATATATTATAGTCTAATCGTTTTTAAATAACTTTTTGTTATACAGGGTGCGATTCCGATCAGAATTATTGACTTACGAAATGGAAATCATATGTCGATGGTTGCAGTAGAAAGTAATTTTTTAATTTTTTAATTTTTTTAAATATGTTGTATAGACCATCTTATATAGATTTTCATTTGTTGAGTATTACTAATTTGTATTTGCATTGTACAGATATCTACTTATATAATAGTAAATCGTTTCATGTGTCTGATGGGTCAACTGTAACTAACCATCCTTAATATTTCTAACTGAAAACCAATCTGCGTTAACTTACCTTATACACTTTAATTTTCTTGTTAACTGATATTGTAGCTCCTAGAAATTAACTTTATTTTTCTATCTAATTATAAGGATGCGATGAAAAGTTCGTAGGGTAACATTTTAATTTAATTTAATAATAAATATTATGATACAAAAAAAATTATGATTAAAAATTATAGGACAATGAATATAAATGAAAATTGTATGTCATCCAGCAGACTTGATTAAAAGACAATATATTAAAAATAATTTAATGAATGTGCATTTATTTATTGATAAAAATAATTACAAAATTTGGTATGTAAGACAATTTATAAATAAATTTGATGTTAATAGATTAAATTTTTTGGAGTCTAAATTTTTTTAAAAAATATTAATTTTTATTAATGATAGTTTAGTACCTTATAAATATCCAAAGAAAACAAGTTCCTGAAAGGTTTTTTAGAAGATACGATGTTGCTAAATTGAACCGAATTTCATCATGGCGTCCGTTTGTCTGTCTGAATACAGATTATACCAATTCCTGTAGGATGTCTTAATGGAAACATTTCTCGATCTGAAACTCAGCAAGTTAATTTACTAATTCATATAAATACAAAAAAGTATTAATTTTTAAAAGTTTTTTAATATATCATAAGTATTTTAAATTATTATTTTATTACTTTAAAAAAAAATATATGAGTTATACATTTCAGAACCAATATAACACTTTGGTTAAATAGTTTTTATTAAAATAATATTTTTATAATAATTTCCAGTACTATATACGTGGTTGTTAAACATAAATAGTTCCTTATTTTCGAATTAATACATTTTGTTTTAATTATTTTAAGTATTTTTGTGCGATTTCTAAATTTTTCAAAAAAAGTATTTTTTTTAGTTTTAGTTGTGATTTATTGTCCCAATTGTGATATAATTATGAAAAAGAATGTAGAACGCAAGTGTGCTCTTATTTCTTATAATTTCATTCAAATATTTCAATATTTTCAAATTTATTTTCAGAGATAATCTATCAACTCTACATAGAAAAATATTTGACATCGTTGGATTTTAATCTTTAACCGCATAACACGTTACTTTTCTACGAACTTTTCAACGCTACCTCGTATTTTAACTAATCACTATCTTATTTAGAAGGCTTTTGGGTTAACCTTTTTACCAAGTAACTATATTTTTGTTTAATTAACACGGAAAGTATTTTTTCTAGGATGTACAAGCATGTCAAAAACATTCAATGATTTTACATGTGGTTGTGTATCAGGTAAGCCATTACTTAAATGTTCTCATTAATTAAATAAAAACACTATTGCATCATCGTAACCCCTTGCATACTGGTCAATCTATTAACCTGGAGTTTAACCATTTTAATTAACATTAATATTCACGACTTTTTCTTTTTCATCAATCATTACAACACGTTCGTTTACCTTGTACATATAAGGGACAGAATTTTATTTTTACCAGACAAAATTTTTGACGTTAGAAATCGTTTATCTGTTAAACATTTTTTACTTGAAACTTTTTTAATAAAATATATTTTTTTTTAATTTAAAGTAGATAGGCAATGGGAGAGCAAATGATCTAGAAAAGTAGAATGGAAATGGGGGTGCAAAATATTTTCCCCTCCATTGTTTATTCAATGTTTTCACATCACACTTACACATATGACATTTTATAAATAATGGAGGAGATATTCCTCTCATTGATATTTTCTGAGATACATTTTTAAAGTTTGAAGTAGATTACAAATTTCATGCAAAGTAGATGATAAATGTAAGAGCAAAATGATCTAGAAAAGTAGAGTGGAAATGGGGGTGCAAAATGCAAAATGTTTTCCCCTCCATTGTTTATTAAAAATTGTCCACCTCACATTTACACGTACGGCATTGTATAAGTAATGGTGGAGATACAACTACTCCCATTGACATGTATATTACAATTTTTTTACAAAGTAGATGGTAAATTTGAGATCATAATGTTCTAAAAAAAGTGGTATGTAAATGAGAGCGCAAAATGTTTCCCCTCCATTAGTTATTGAAAATTTTCACATCACATTTACACGTATGACTAGATATGAATCATGGAGGAGATATAACCTATATTTTCATACTCCAAGATAAACAAATTTTTATGATGGTTAGTTAAGGACAGACTATCCTTGTGCATTAGAATGGCGTCTGCAGACCAAAAGTTAATTGTAACTATTTCCGTAATTATACCGTACTATTTTTTTTTTTAATTGTAGATAAAGGTCCAACTTAGGTGGTTCAGGCATTGATTTTTTTAAATTAATTGTTTTTAATTAAAAACGTATGGAAGAAAATGGTATATTTTTATACCTTTTTCATTGTAAGAATAAACTACAAATTCAATAAATTTTCTGAAAATGAGACCTTGACAAGTAGATTATTTTACCAAATGTTTGACTGCAGGCACTACTGATTAGGCAGTCCTGCAGTACAGAATTCAACTGCGAATCCTTTAGAGACTCTGTCCTTAATACCTATAAATTTGTAATAATTCTAAATAATGTTGATAAAACTTTTTAATCACTTAATTTTACTATGTACTGTTAATTATTAAAAGTAAGTAAATTAATATTTTTTATAAACAAATTGTCTAACGTAATTTATAAGTATGTTTAATATTAAAACCAATAGCTAATTGAATTTTACATTCATTAAGTTTATCAATCGTTTTTAATAATTAAAGACTATACTTTTGATTAAAAAATGTTTAACAGATATACATAAACTATCAAACGACTATATTTTTTTACCCACCAAAAATTAGAGACTACCTTTTTGTTGTAGACTTTTTTTAGTTCGTAACTGTACTTCAAGAAGCAATAGCAGTACCAATCGTTTTTTGTTTCACCAAAATAAAAGTTTTTGCATTTTTTTAGGCGTCTAAGTTTGTTGTAGTCTTTGATACCACACACCGTAGTTTTCTATCACATCACTTAGTAGTTTCTAAGAGAGTTCTAGAAGTTTAAAAAATTGATAAGTTAAAAGTTTTGGATAGTTTTGTATTTTTTTTTTATTTTTGATTTTGGATTAGTTCTGTAGATATATAAATTTTATTTTAGTATAATTAGTAAGTTGCCAGACGGGTAGTATTTGTGTGATAACTGCAAGGCTGTGTTACTGTGTCAAATATGCAAATTAAATATTCAAATTTGAGTTCCTTTGAGATTTAAAAAAAGTTTTCATTATTTTATAGGGATTATTTTGAAAAGTAAAATAATATTCATAAAAATTAAAAATAATAAAAGTGTAATTACTTATTTTCATAAAATATAAAATTAACTTTAATTAAATGTTAAACAATGCTTAATTTTGAGTAGAATTTAATTGTTATAATATAATTTTTACCATACGTTCGATATAAAACTAATTCTTGAAGATTTGAGTACCTAATTTGCATATTTTAAATAGTAGCACATCTTTAAACTAATCACATTTTTTTAACGTATTATTAGAAATTATTTTTAGCAATTTTTTAAACACTGACGTTCGTCAAAACTACTCCGAATCAAATTTCGTGGTAGTTTCGAGACGATGTGTATATTTTCTCTTGACTTTCGACTTTTATATGTAAACTGAACTTTTCCGAAACAACTTTAACCTGTTTTTGTCTCACCCTACTATTTTACTTTTTTCAGCATGTCATTGAGAGGTGACTTGTACTTCCAAACCTGTATTTTCACTAAATTCAAAATTTTCGATCTTGTAATTGTGTGCCTATTGTTCGTCCTGTTCTATTTGAAGTACCTTTTTGTCTATTTTTATGTTCAATGTTGTGCACATTCTTTAAATGTTTATAGTAGTTGCATCAGTACTAGTGTAAATATAAAAAAGAAAATGGTGTTTTGAGAAAAAGGAAAGCATCACGAGTTCGTTTTGAAAAGTCGAAGATATGTGTACAGGGTCTTGCAACAGTGGTACGATCTTTTATAGATGGCTTAGAACGTGACACACTTGTCACCCTTCAGGCAACCTTGGTAATGGAAAAGGTTAAACTCACTACCTTGTCAAAAATCTATTATTATTTGTTGATAATCATTGTGGCTTTTATATTTTTTATTTTATATAAATACATGTCATGGTTTGCTAAAAATATACAACTTTATAATTTTTTTATGATGGTATAAATAATATTAAAGATCCCACAGTTACAAATTTAAAAAATAGGGATATACAGGGTTATAACTAATAGGATATATAGTAAAAAATATAATATTGTTTTTTTTAAATATTTTTATTTAAACAACAAGTACAATATTTTTATGACTTTATTAATTGCAAGCTAACATCAGACTGGAAGTAAAATAAACACTTGTTCAGAAATAACAAGTAACTTGAACTGTCGGCTGGTGGAATTCTCGGAACTTCTCGACAGGTCAGCGGTTTCTACTATGTAATTAGTAGCAAGTTATTTGGACCAAAATATGATAAATAGACCAAACATGCTTTAATAAAACATTACTGTGGAAAAATAGGCAGGGTGTTAAAGCTGGAATATTTTTTCTCGTTTTTTGGTAATAATTTCATAACATATTTATGAATTGGTATCAAAATTAGTAAAAAGATAGAGACATAAACAAGGAATTTAATTTTACATTTTATTACATTGGGCGCCACAGATTTTTAATGATGTAATTTAGTTTTATCTTTTCTGAGGAAATATTTTTAGTAATTTTGATTATAAAATTGTTATAAATGTTTCAACTTGATAATGTCAAGCGTTATCGAGAAAAACGCAATATTTCAGAGAAGTTGTTGATTATAGCCCATTGGGTTTCTAATTTTGGGCACATATGGAGTCTTAAGGTATTACCGATGAATTTTTTTTTACAAAATGGACTCGGTTAAAAATACAAGATGGGGATAATATTTTTATTATTGTCAAAAAGGATGTCACATATAGTATTTACTTTGATTAAGTTGTTTATGTTTATTATTCGGTATTCAGACAATTTTATCTGCTAATTCTTATTTGAAAGCACTTTCAGATAGATACGAAGTTTTCAATTTCATTTTTCTCAAAATATTTGAGTATTCAAGTCATAGATTTTAATTTTTTCAGATGTCATGTAACGAAAATTTAGTAATATATTTTTACCTGGTACCTCTGTCTCTATTATATCCATTTTTATTTGTAACTTTAATTATTATGCAAGACCCTGTATAGTACAAATAACCCTGTTTATTATGACATTTATTTAATACAGATAAGGTGTAATCTTATGTTTGTCCCATATGAAGAAAGTTATTTATTAAAAAGAAAAAGATTTTGGAGAATATTGCGATTAGTTTCTGCCACTGCCATCACTACCATCATCAGGCTTACAAAGCGAGACTTTTACGGTCAGTTTAAAAATGTGTATAAAAATTTTGGCTCCAGAAAAATTGATCTAAATTACGTTTACTCTCAAAATAATTATTATAACTTCTATATTTGAAATATATTTTACAGTTAATAGTAATAAATGATTATTCTGTCCTTTCTTACATTATTTATTTTGTTTACACTTATTTCCTCTTACTATACTTACTTTTTAAGGATTGATATTTTATTTCCTGACATCCTATTTAAGGGTTCAATTTTTAGTGTTTCAAGTTTTACGTTTCATAGATCAAGATTTCATTTTAGTGATCTAAGTATCACAGAGTATGTTTTCAGGGATTATGATTCAAGGATTAGGGTTCAGGAATTAGGGTTCATGGATTAGGGTTCAGGAATTAGGGTTCATGGATTTAAAGTTTCAGGGATTCAGAGTTTTAGGGATTCATTGAGTCAGGAATTCGGGTATTATGGAGTCAGGGATAATAGTTTTTTCAGGGTTTATTACAAACCATGTTAAAACTGTATGGAATGCTGCGTCCGTCCAAAATCCCGTAAATCCGAGTCGCAATGTTAAATAAAAATAAAATTTCGAAGATTTCGCTAAACGTTTCCTTTTTCTCTAAACATCATGTACGTACTGGTGCCGCTATATCGGTTTCGACCACGTAATTTAGGTGGTCGTACTAACGAAAAAAAAAGAACCGGGAAAAATTGATGCCGTTATTTTTAAAATTCGATTTTGTCTATAATTTAAAAATTAGTTTAGTGCTTTTTGCACGAAGTGTTGAAAACATCTTTACCCCACTGGTTAATTGTTTATTTTCAATTTTCTTTGAGTATATTTTGTCAAACAGAAAAAACGTATCTATATAAAACCTTACATAAAAGCATATTTTTATTAAAATCATTTATGATATAATACAGTACATTAACCCATGCATCAGGCAAAATAAAGATAAGACGCTTTATTATCTTTGGACGTGAAAGCTGTTCACACTTCTATTTCTCTCTATCCAATAGCATTGTGTTTTTATACCTTTCTCCTGGAGTCAGAAAAGTTAACGTATTGTATATATTAAATGTTAGTTTAGAATAAACCAAGCGCCATATTGTGCGATTTTTGAAGGAATTCAAATTAATACATAAAAAATGGAAAATACTCATTTTTTGTACTGCTGCCACTTCTTCAGTTAAGTGCAGTCACACAGGAAAATTATAAGGAGAAATTGACCTGAGCAAGAGCTACAAATAAAGGTAAGGGCGTAAATTTGTCAGTATGTTTTATAAAATAAATTAATAACCGACCACCAAATTTACAGTCCACTTTATTACAAACGCAACAGTAGAATATATAGACTAAAATGCTTTAATCCCGCAATTGATTCTTGTCATCAGGATTAGAAGATGTATTTTAGTTCCTTGGGGTAAATATGTAATAATTTTAAATTATATCATATATCATAAACATTTTTTAATAAAAATATGCTCTACTGTACTTACTGTATTCTTGCTCGTTACTATTTAATTTTTTTGTTACCAGGAATGAATCTAACTGCATGTTTTAATTTTGTTTATAAATTTAATGGTATATGGTTTTACGTACAAAGTAATCGTTGGAAATCTAACCACACTTATGGTTTAACAAGTTGGTAATCTTTGAACAATATCGTTTATTTAAAACTGTATTTTAATAAACTTAGATTATATAGGGTGTGTCGTATATATTTCTACAGTAGTAAGAGGCAGTTAAGCATTCAACCATCAATAAAAATTTTAAAAAAATTTGTTGACAGTGTGATATATTTTATTTCAAACTACTCCCTTTTATATATTTTTAAAGTATTGAGAATGAATATAGGATCTACAATTATTGGTATGAAAAGTCATGTAACATGTTGGGCGTAAATAAAACTTAAAAATTTTTCAAAACTTAAGAAACCTAAAAACTTAAAAAAATAAACTTTAAAAAACTTAAAAGGAATAATTCTAGAGTTATCAAATTAAAAACAAAACAATTATTAATAAAAAAATTAGGATCTCTAAAACGATATGAATCTAAATCAATTTGTTTTCTCTTTTGACACATCAGATATGCAAAATTTATTGTACAGGATGAAGACTTTTAATTGATGGTTGTTTACTTATTCTAACTTCTAGCTACTGTACAAGTATGTATCTTTAACAATTACTCGTAATCCACGTGATTATGATGCCATCAGCTGGTTAAAAGTAAAATTAATAAATTCAGTACTAATTATACACAATATCACTGATGTATTTGACATTATTGACTTAAAAGGTATCATTTTAAATAATATTGTTTTTACCAGATCACTTGAAATACGAGTACAATTATGACACACCCTGTATACCTATACCTACAGTTACAGCAGTTGTAAGTAGATTTCCAAAAAATACCCCCTAAATTTTACTGCTATTGCTTTTAATTTTTTATGCACGTTGTTTTTAATTATGCACATTGTTTTTGAATTGATACGCTTTTTTAATAATTTTTTGAATTTTACTTCACGCTTTTTGTGCTTATCTAAGTTTAAATAAATCGAATACCCGTAAAAAACGTTTGAAGAAAAAATTATTTACTGTTTTTTTCTAAAAAATATTTTTTAAATTATTTAAATATATTTACACAGTTGGTTGTTGAGAAATAAGCTTAACTTAAGAAGCCATTTTTATTGAAAAAAAAGTTTCAAGCTTGGCTTATATCTTAACAACATATTGAAAAAAATTCTCCCAAAAATTCTCCGAAAGAATATATTGATTTTTCATTGAAAATCAATTTTTGTTATAAAAAAATTCATGTTTTAATCATATTAAAAGTAAATGATTTTTTCTTAAATTAATAGATACACTGCTTATGTTTATTTTGATTGTTTTTTATTTTTATATAGACTTATATTTAATTCAGAAATTAATATCAAAATATAACTATTTCATATAAATAAACAAATAATTTAAAAGTTCACTAATTTAAGTTGATTTAATTAATTTTTATCAGGTATATCTTAACTGTATTAAAATTAGGTAACACCTAAATTAAATATAAAAGATTATTTAAAAATATACAAATATTAATATATTATAGGGTAAAGTATTTGAAAGTTAGCTTCAAAGGTAATACACCTATACGAAAATACCCAAGCATTTAATTCGAGACAATTTCAATAATATTCGGTTATATAAATAGAACGAATTTAACTTAAAACCTTTATTTAACAAACATGTAATATACATGTCTTACTATTTTATTTACTGAGATACAGGGTGGGATAAATTAATTCAAAAAATGTTTGTTCAACCAAGTATAATTAACAGTTTTGCGTAATTCCACCTCTTCCCACAAGACGGCGCTCTACTAGTGTAGCTTTGCCACGTCTTGCATTTTACTTCCCTACTATCCGCAAGATTTCATCTTTATATACAGGTGTCCCGAAAAGATTGTATTAATTAATGTATATTTTATGTTATTACTTGTAATTTAATATTATTAATATGTTTATACATGCTTTTGATATTTATAAAAAAATTCAAAATTCAATATTTTAAAATTGACATTTAAAAACATGGTGGTATCTTCTAATTTAAGATTTTCATAAACAAATACTAGTAGAGAAACAAGTTTTGAAATAGATGCGTACTCCAAGTGATTAATCTCTTTATGGTTAAAAATACCTCTAAAAAAGTTGGAGTGTCATCAAAATTAAGGTGATACCAAATTTTAATACAGTAACGGAAAACCCTGTATGTTTTTATTTAAATAAATCTGCTGCTAGAGAAACTTCATTACAGTTTTTCAACAAAACACTTTTCCATTTTACCAGTTTAAAAGATTCGACATTAAAAGTATGTACCTACTGTTTTCTTCGTTAATAAAAATTATTTGCATTGGTAATATTAAGAAAGGCTTTTATTAATTAAGTTTGTTATTGTTTAATTTATTGCTTTATAATTATAAACATTATTAAAAACCCTAAACGTAAAACTATATAGTCCTAATATGTATGTTGCTTCATGCGCGCGCATGCGTAACTAGTGCTATGTTTACACTTATTAGTGTGTCCGATATGGGGAACCAGATTTACTAAAGTATGTTTTATTTTATGGGTCGCGTAGACAAGCTGGACAGCTCGTTCTCGAGATCTAGATCATCGTCGATGAGCTCTTTGGAAAATATCACCTCAGAATCAATCCAGTGCCTGGCGTTCGTCGATTCCTACATGAAAAAGTCAGGTAACGTTTTTTTTCTACGTCCGCAGATGTTTTTATTTATAATTAGAAAATATTCTGTTGAAGCATGTCACTATAATAATAGTTTAAATAAGTTACAGATTCTGCTATTGTTATGGTCAATATACAATACATTTAAGTTTAAAATGGTTAAAATACAATTAAAAACAATCAAAAATAATTAAAAACAATTAAAAACAATTAAAAACAATTAAAAACAATCAAAAACAATTAAAAACAATTAAAAACAATTAAAAACAATTAAAAACAATTAAAAACAATTAAAAAACAATTAAAAACAATTAAAAACAATTAAAAACAATTAAAAACAATTAAAAACAATTAAAAACAATTAAAAACAATTAAAAACAATTAAAAACAATTAAAAACAATTAAAAACAATTAAAAACAATTAAAAACAATTAAAAACAATTAAAAACAATTAAAAACAATTAAAAACAATTAAAAACAATTAAAAACAATTAAAAACAATAAAAACAATTAAAAACAATTAAAAACAATTAAAAACAATTAAAAACAATTAAAAACAATTAAAAACAATTAAAAACAATTAAAACAATTAAAAACAATTAAAAACAATTAAAAACAATTAAAAACAATTAAAAACAATTAAAAACAATTAAAAACAATTAAAAACAATTAAAAACAATTAAAAACAATTAAAAACAATTAAAAACAATTAAAAACAATTAAAAACAATTAAAAACAATTAAAAACAATTAAAAACAATTAAAAACAATTAAAAACAATTAAAAACAATTAAAAACAATTAAAAACAATTAAAAACAATTAAAAACAATTAAAAACAATTAAAAACAATTAAAAACAATTAAAAACAATTAAAAACAATTAAAAACAATTAAAAACAATTAAAAACAATTAAAAACAATTAAAAACAATTAAAAACAATTAAAAACAATTAAAAACAATTAAAAACAATTAAAAACAATTAAAAACAATTAAAAACAATTAAAAACAATTAAAAACAATTAAAAACAATTAAAAACAATTAAAAACAATTAAAAACAATTAAAAACAATTAAAAACAATTAAAAACAATTAAAAACAATTAAAAACAATTAAAAACAATTAAAAACAATTAAAAACAATTAAAAACAATTAAAAACAATTAAAAACAATTAAAAACAATTAAAAACAATTAAAAACAATTAAAAACAATTAAAAACAATTAAAAACAATTAAAAACAATTAAAAACAATTAAAAACAATTAAAAACAATTAAAAACAATTAAAAACAATTAAAAACAATTAAAAACAATTAAAAACAATTAAAAACAATTAAAAACAATTAAAAACAATTAAAAACAATTAAAAACAATTAAAAACAATTAAAAACAATTAAAAACAATTAAAAACAATTAAAAACAATTAAAAACAATTAAAAACAATTAAAAACAATTAAAAACAATTAAAAACAATTAAAAACAATTAAAAACAATTAAAAACAATTAAAAACAATTAAAAACAATTAAAAACAATTAAAAACAATTAAAAACAATTAAAAACAATTAAAAACAATTAAAAACAATTAAAAACAATTAAAAACAATTAAAAAACAATTAAAAACAATTAAAAACAATTAAAAACAATTAAAAACAATTAAAAACAATTAAAAACAATTAAAAACAATTAAAAACAATTAAAAACAATTAAAAACAATTAAAAACAATTAAAAACAATTAAAAACAATTAAAAACAATTAAAAACAATTAAAAACAATTAAAAACAATTAAAAACAATTAAAAACAATTAAAAACAATTAAAAACAATTAAAAACAATTAAAAACAATTAAAAACAATTAAAAACAATTAAAAACAATTAAAAACAATTAAAAACAATTAAAAACAATTAAAAACAATTAAAAACAATTAAAAACAATTAAAAACAATTAAAAACAATTAAAAACAATTAAAAACAATTAAAAACAATTAAAAACAATTAAAAACAATTAAAAACAATTAAAAACAATTAAAAACAATTAAAAACAATTAAAAAACAATTAAAAACAATTAAAAACAATTAAAAACAATTAAAAACAATTAAAAACAATTAAAAACAATTAAAAACAATTAAAAACAATTAAAAACAATTAAAAACAATTAAAAACAATTAAAAACAATTAAAAACAATTAAAAACAATTAAAAACAAAATTAAAAACAATTAAAAACAATTAAAAACAATTAAAAGCAATTAAAAACAATTAAAAACAATTAAAAACAATTAAAAACAATTAAAAACAATTAAAAACAATTAAAAACAATTAAAAACAATTAAAAACAATTAAAAACAATTAAAAACTATTAGAAACTAGTATAGACTATTAAAAACGTTTTAAAACGATTAAAAACGACCTAAAAAAAATTGAAAAATCCTTAACATAATAACTAAAAATTAAAAATAACTTGAAAAACCATTATGTATGACATATTTTTTCAGAACAATCATTGACTCCGACGTTATGGGTAGGAACCAGTCTAGGATCCGTTATTACCATCTACATAACACCGCCAGATGCTGACAGTCGTTCATCGCAACCAGTGGTCGTTTCTTTAGTCGGTGCCACCATCTTCAGATTGAAGGGTTCCATTTTAACGATGTCCTTTTTGGATTGTAACGGGTCCTTGATACCTTATTCGTTCGAATCGTGGAGGGACGAACATCGGGAGAAGAGGGACAGTAAGTCCAAACGTTTTTGCACCAATACTATAATTTCGCGCCATGAACTGATCATAATTATTTGTATTTTTCCTTTCTAGGAACTCCAACCAGAAACAACATGCGGATGAGTCCGACTTTAGGAGGTGGAGCAGAAGGAATGAGCAGAAGTGACAACCTTTTGGATAGACAGTTCGTTGTTATGGCTAGCGAAAAGCAAGCCAGAGTTGTTGCTTTACCATCGCAAACGTGCGTCTATCGTCAACAGTTAGCCGATGCCGATTTTGTAGTGAAAGCTGAGGTCATTTCTATGAGAGGTAAGTTACTTTCTCTTTTTTTTTTTTCAAATTGCCTGTTTACAGCCTAGATTTTACCTGTCAATTCCTATTGTCAATTCGCTATTATTGCCATTAAAACACTGTAAAACACAGTAAAGAGCAGTAAAATGCTGTATAACACAGTATAACACAATATAAACTCAGTAAAACACAGTATAACATAGTAAAACGTAGTACAATCAGTAGAGTACAATAAAACACAGTAACTACATTGTAATTATTGTTGATGCAATACTGATGAAATTCATGCAATGTAAATTATTGTCATAATAGTCAGTTGATTGTTAAAAATTCAATAATTGATGACTGATCGAGTAAAAACTTTTAATTAAATTTAAAGTCCTTTGCGGTTTTAGCAAATCCGATGAGTATAATGTTTCCGAAAAAACAAAAAACAAATATTTTCCAAGCACAGTATAAAACAGAGTAAACACACGGTAAAAACACAGTACAAAGACAGTAAGACACAGCGTATACAGTAAAACACGGGAAAACACAGTTAAACAGAATTGAACACAATAATTAAATAACGTAAAACACAGTAAACATATTAAAAACAGTAAAGCTCAGTAAAGTTTTTATTTTTATATTTACGTATCTTCTATATTTTACTTATAAAATTCTCCTTTTTTTTTTCAGATAGCGTATGTTTAGCCTGTTATGTGTCAAACGGACACTTAACGACATATAGCTTGCCTAGTCTAAGGCCACTCTTAGACATCGATTTCCTTCCCCTCTCGGAACTTAGGTGAGAAATGTTTGTTTCGTTCGTTTTTAACACTATCTTCAGGTTATGTCTTTTCGAAAATTTAAAAAATAATATATATATGACACGAGTTAGCTACCGCCGCACCATTGTTTTTCTGTCGTGTTTTTGACAACACATTGTATAGCCATAAAGGTGTTTAGTTTTTTTTTTTGTAACGTTAAAATTTATCTATCAGAAATGTAATAAAAAATGTTTCTTTTCATTTGTGGTTCAAGTGCTGCTACTGTAGTGAATGTTGTGTTTTCTGTAATTTACAACATGTACATTTTCTTTAGTCAATATAAAAAACTCATTTTATTTTCATTTGACCTACCGTGCTACCACTATTTAAATATTCCGCTTTAAATGGGACCAAATATTATATGACTGGTGCATAGTAGGAACACAGTGAACGCACTATCCCAAATGAAAATTAAACCTTTATTTTTCTGTTCTTTCTTAAATACAAAACGTTAATGGATGATTTATTTAATTTAATACGTTTGAGTTACATTCGTTTGGGTTTTTTCTTCAAATTCTTTGTTATCGTTTTTTGAAACGTAGCGATAAAACAGCGATTAAACCGTAGTAAACCACAGTGAAAACACAGTAAAAACAGTCAAAATTAGCAATAACAGTAAAATCTTGTAAACGCCATAAAAACACAAAGCTAACGGATAATAACATCATTGCATATAAAACTCAGGAAAAACACGGTAAAAAAGAGTACATATACAGTAAAACAGTAAATACACTAAAACGCAGTTAAAACACCTTAAAACACATCAAAAACGCAGTTAAATAACGGTACAACACAATAAAAACTGTTAAAACACAGCAAAGAATATACCGTAAAAACAGTAAAACGCAGTAAAAAACAGTAAAAACACAGTAAAACACCTAGTAAAAATATTATGTATATTATGACCTGGAAAAAACCCCAAATGAAGATCAACCTAAAAACCCTTTTAAACAAATATCAAATTTCTATAATGTTTTGTCATAGCACGGCAGTTTTCAGCATTGGTCTTTTTAACCATTCAAAAAGATTTTTGCATGCTCAACGATTTGTATAGATTTTTTACACTAATTAACTAAATTCCAAAATAAATAAAACGACACTAAAACAATTAATAATTTTATTCGTGTGTTCTAGATGGGATTGTAAATGTTTCCTTAATGTGATGGACTCCATTCAAAAATTCGTAGATTAAAAATACTTTTATGATGCATTTTTTATCGTTCTCAACGCTTTTTTTCAGACATTTCTAAATGGTACTTTTAAAAATAAGTTAACACAGTAAAACACAGTTACATAATTATAATTATTATTGATACAATACCGACGAAATCCATACAGTGTAAAATATTGTCAAAATGATGTAATGAATAACAACGATAAAACATTAAAATACAGTAAACTACAGTAAAACACAGAAAAACAGTCAAATACTGTAAAACACAGTAAAATACAGTAAAACACTGTGCAAAACAGTACACAACAGAACAAGACACATTAAAACACAGTAAGATACAATAAAACACGTATTTTGCGGTTTATTTTTACATATAATACAAGATTAGAAACTAAAAAAACAAAACAGTAAAAACATTAATCTTATTGCAATGACAATTATTGTTGAAAGGATAATATATTAAATAAAAAACTAGGGTAAAACACAGTAATAAACAGTAAAACAAATAGTTAAAATTATTATTGATATTATGCTGACGAAATTCACAGAATGTAAATTATTGTCACATAGGTAGTATATCAAATAAATAAAAACACATTAAAACACAGTAAACACAGTAAAACACAGTAAAACGCAGTAAAACACATTAAAACACATTAAAACATAGTAAAACATAGTAAAACATAGTAAAACACAGTAAAACATAGTTAAACACAGTAAAGCACTGTAAAACACAGTAAAACAAAGTAAAACACAGTAAAAATGCAATAGAACACAGTAAAACATAGTAAAACATAGTAAAACATAGTAAAACATAGTAAAACATAGTAAAACATAGTAAAACGCAGTAAAACATGTAAAACACAGTAAAACACAGTAAACGCAGTAAAACACGGTAAAACACAGTAAAACGCAGTAAAACACAAACACAATAAAACACAGTAAAACGTAATAAACATAGTAAAACTCAGTAAACCCAGTAAAACTCGGCAAAACGAAGTGAAAGATAGTAATATATAGTAAAATACAGTAAAATACACTAAAATGCAGTAAAATACAGTAAAATACAGTAAAATACAGTAAAATACAGTAAAATATAGTAAAATATTGTAAAGTATAGTAAAATACAGTAAAATACAATAAAATACAGTAAAATACAGTAAAATACAGTAAAATACAGTAAAATACAGTAAAATACAGTAAAATACAGTAAAATACAGTAAAATACAGTAAAATACAGTAAAATACAGTAAAATACAGTAAAATACAGTAAAATACAGTAAAATACAGTAAAATACATTAAAATACAGTAAAATACAGTAAAATACAGTAAAATACAGTAAAATACAGTAAAATACAGTAAAATACAGTAAAATACAGTAAAATACAGTAAAATACAGTAAAATACTTAAAAAATAGTAAAAATAGTCAACAATAAAACAGTAAAACACAATAAAAGTAGTTAAAACACAGTAAAATTTGGTATAACACAATAATTTAATTATAATTTTTGTTAATACAATACTGACGAAATCCATATCGTAATTTTTTTGTACAAGGTATATAATAAATAGATAAAAACACAGTTAGACGCAGTAAAACACTGTAAATCGCAGTAAAACGCTGTAAAACACACTAAAACACAGTAAAACAATAAAATATCTTTACCATATTTTTTTAAAAAAACTATTATTTTAAAGCGCATGTATTGCACAAGTGACCAAATATACTTACTCATGAGAAACATATAAAAAATGCATCTTAAAAAACGTTTAACCTACAATGGCTGTGCACATTTCTGTGTCTAAAACTAATCGTAGTACCTACCTACGACCATAAATTTACATTTAACCTAACCTAATAAATGTTAGAGGCTTTCTCATCTGATTTTTCTAACACCTTTTTTCTAATGACCTCTAGTTGCTTCTAATTACCTGTGTTACCCTGCTAGTTTTCAGACACAATCTAACAAAGGCATAGTAGACCCAATGTTATCGATTTGGGGCCAACAACTCATTGTTAACGAGGATACTGACCAGTAAGTTGCCATCAAAAAATTTGGTCTGTCGAATATTTATAGTATACATATGAGTATTGAGTAATTTATAGCAGACATCTTGAAGTTACTCGGCTCTATTTTTATAAATATATGTGTGTCATTTACTTTAAAATAGAAAAATTGTACATATTAAAATACATTATATATGAATACATTATCATTATATATTATACAATACGTTATACAATACATTATACATTACATTATACATTACATTATACATTACATTATACATTACATTATACATTACATTATACATTACATTATACATTACATTATACATTACATTATACATTACATTATACATTACATTATACATTACTTTATACATTACATTATACATTACATTATACATTACATTATACATTACATTATACATTACATTATACGTTACATTATACGTTACATTATACATTACATTATACATTACATTATACATTACATTATACATTACATTATACATTACATTATACATTACATTATACATTACATTATACATTACATTATACATTACATTATACATTACATTATACATTACATTATACATTACATTATACATTACATTATACATTACATTATACATTACATTATACATTACATTATACATTACATTATACATTACATTATACATTACATTATACATTACATTATACATTACATTATACATTACATTATACATTACATTATACATTACATTATACATTACATTATACATTACATTATACATTACATTATACATTACATTACATTATACATTACATTATACATTACATTATACATTACATTATACATTACATTATACATTACATTATACATTACATTATACATTACATTATACATTACATTATACATTACATTATACATTACATTATACATTACATTATACATTACATTATACATTACATTATACATTACATTATACATTACATTATACATTACATTATACATTACATTATACATTACATTATACATTACATTATACATTACATTATACATTACATTATACATTACATTATACATTACATTATACATTACATTATACATTACATTATACATTACATTATACATTACATTATACATTACATTATACATTACATTATACATTACATTATACATTACATTATACATTACATTATACATTACATTATACATTACATTATACATTACATTATACATTACATTATACATTACATTATACATTACATTATACATTACATTATACATTACATTATACATTACATTATACATTACATTATACATTACATTATACATTACATTATACATTACATTATACATTACATTATACATTACATTATACATTACATTATACATTACATTATACATTACATTATACATTACATTATACATTACATTATACATTACATTATACATTACATTATACATTATACATTACATTATACATTACATTATACATTACATTATACATTACATTATACATTACATTATACATTACATTATACATTACATTATACATTACATTATACATTACATTATACATTACATTATACATTACATTATACATTACATTATACATTACATTATACATTACATTATACATTACATTATACATTACATTATACATTACATTATACATTACATTATACATTACATTATACATTACATTATACATTACATTATACATTACATTATACATTACATTATACATTACATTATACATTACATTATACATTACATTATACATTACATTATACATTACATTATACATTACATTATACATTACATTATACATTACATTATACATTACATTATACATTACATTATACATTACATTATACATTACATTATACATTACATTATACATTACATTATACATTACATTATACATTACATTATACATTACATTATACATTACATTATACATTACATTATACATTACATTATACATTACATTATACATTACATTATACATTACATTATACATTACATTATACATTACATTATACATTACATTATACATTACATTATACATTACATTATACATTACATTATACATTACATTATACATTACATTATACATTACATTATACATTACATTATACATTACATTATACATTACATTATACATTACATTATACATTACATTATACATTACATTATACATTACATTATACATTACATTATACATTACATTATACATTACATTATACATTACATTATACATTACATTATACATTACATTATACATTACATTATACATTACATTATACATTACATTATACATTACATTATACATTACATTATACATTACATTATACATTACATTATACATTACATTATACATTACATTATACATTACATTATACATTACATTATACATTACATTATACATTACATTATACATTACATTATACATTACATTATACATTACATTATACATTACATTATACATTACATTATACATTACATTATACATTACATTATACATTACATTATACATTACATTATACATTACATTATACATTACATTATACATTACATTATACATTACATTATACATTACATTATACATTACATTATACATTACATTATACATTACATTATACATTACATTATACATTACATTATACATTACATTATACATTACATTATACATTACATTATACATTACATTATACATTACATTATACATTACATTATACATTACATTATACATTACATTATACATTACATTATACATTACATTATACATTACATTATACATTACATTATACATTACATTATACATTACATTATACATTACATTATACATTACATTATACATTACATTATACATTACATTATACATTACATTATACATTACATTATACATTACATTATACATTACATTATACATTACATTATACATTACATTATACATTACATTATACATTACATTATACATTACATTATACATTACATTATACATTACATTATACATTACATTATACATTACATTATACATTACATTATACATTACATTATACATTACATTATACATTACATTATACATTACATTATACATTACATTATACATTACATTATACATTACATTATACATTACATTATACATTACATTATACATTACATTATACATTACATTATACATTACATTATACATTACATTATACATTACATTATACATTACATTATACATTACATTATACATTACATTATACATTACATTATACATTACATTATACATTACATTATACATTACATTATACATTACATTATACATTACATTATACATTACATTATACATTACATTATACATTACATTATACATTACATTATACATTACATTATACATTACATTATACATTACATTATACATTACATTATACATTACATTATACATTACATTATACATTACATTATACATTACATTATACATTACATTATACATTACATTATACATTACATTATACATTACATTATACATTACATTATACATTACATTATACATTACATTATACATTACATTATACATTACATTATACATTACATTATACATTACATTATACATTACATTATACATTACATTATACATTACATTATACATTACATTATATATTACATTATACATTACATTATACATTACATTATACATTACATTATACATTACATTATACATTACATTATACATTACATTATACATTACATTATACATTACATTATACATTACATTATACATTACATTATACATTACATTATACATTACATTATACATTACATTATACATTACATTATACATTACATTATACATTACATTATACATTACATTATACATTAATTACATTATACATTACATTATACATTACATTATACATTACATTATACATTACATTATACATTACTATATACATTACATTATACATTACATTATACATTACATTATACATTACATTATACATTACATTATACATTACATTATACATTACATTATACATTACATTATACATTACATTATACGTTACATTATACGTTACATTATAAATTACATTATACATTACATTATACATTATACACTATTACTTAATTACTCGTTATTTCAACTAAGTTACCAAAAAGCAGATATGCCTGACTATCTTACTGTTTCGTGATTGGTTCTTTTGTTTAATTAAATATCTGTACATTATAGTGCATTTTTTATTCTAAATGGTAAGAGAGATACTAAAAGTCACCGAAAATTACATAGAAAATACTCAAAAATTCCGTACCAATCAAATTATGATTATCTTAACAGATTTATAACACTACTCAAGTATTTGACACATGTATAATTTTGTAAATCTAAAATTTGAATTAACTTAAGCATCAGAATGAGTAATATGTTGAATATAACTTAACGAAAATGCAGTATAGTGATAAATGTGCAAAGTAAACAGGTATAATTACAATTTTTAAAACAAAACAAAAATATAATATATTCAAAAGCACAATAAACACACTTTTCCATTTCCAAAATTTAGCTTGAGCACAATTTTACTTGCACTGCATTTTGAACGAAACAGCATGTATGAGTTCTAATTCTTTGAATATTTCTAGAAGTTTTAACGATTCTACTAATTTTTCATTCAATTGATAGATTGTTTTCGAAAATAAATCAACATTCCTCTTTAGATTATACAGAATAATAATTTAAAAAGTGTTTTTTGAATTTTATTTAAAAAAAAAATAAGTAGAAAGTTGATTTATTTTCATTAATGGTAAAATCGTTTCTGATAACATTTTTTACAAAAAAATTTAATTCGAAAAAATGCATGATAGTTACTGCTCAATCAAATCAACTCAAACTAGTAGGTAAGTTGTTGTACCATTTCCACCCAACCTATAACCGCTGGTTCTTAAATTTTAACGCATTTTAAATACCAAACGAAGAACATATTTTATGTAGTAATAAATACTGTTTTAATTCTAAAAAAAATGCTTTAAAATTTAATAACTATTATAACCATATATTTTTCTAATTTAACCGTACTAATTAATTAAATATAACCATTTATGTGACCTATGTTGGGTGGTTTTATTTTAGAATGTTATCAAAGAAACTGTTTTCGAATTTATAATTAATTCTGTATGATAAAGTTTATTGCTCAATTTAGAGCCACTTTAAACTGCTCTAAGGATCACTTGCTACGCCAGTCGATAAGAAATAAGGAAAACTTTTAAGTTTGGCTTATTTATTTATGACTGGCGGTGGAAATGGGCCTCAGGAATCTTTTTTTTTTTACCTTCTTTTATAACTTGAAAACGCTGATATGTTAACTTTTTAGCTAAATTTAATCAATTGAATTAAAATGTTTTAGGATTGCTAAGACGTTCAACTTCAGCAATAGAGGACACGGATTGTATTTGGCTTCGCCATCGGAGCTGCAGAAGTTTACTTTGTGCGCAGAATTTTGGTATGTCTAGTAGACATTTTTTCTTACATCATTTTTTCATCCAACATTTTTTTATCCAAAAATTTTTTCATCCGCATTTTTTCATCCAAAAGTTTTACATTAAAAATATTTTTGATAAACATTATTTATTTTTTATTTTTTCAACATTTTTTAATCAAATTTTTATTTATATTTTTTTGTCAATGATTGCTTTTGCCACATTTTTTTAAACCAAATCATTAATTCAACATTTTTTCGTCCATTTTTGTATCTAAAAATTTTTCATCAATATTTGTTTCATCTAAAAAAATGTATCCATCATTTATTTCATCCAAATTATTTTCGTTAATATTTATAAAGGTTTTTTTATCCACATTTTTCAATCAGATTTTCATTTATATTTTTTTCAATGTTTTTTTCTCCACATTTTTTAAACAAAACTTTTCATAATTTTTTCGTCAAAATATTTCTTTTGAAATTCTTTTTAAACATATTTTCATCCAACATTTTTTTGTTTAAGAAATTTTTCATCAAAAATTGTTTTTCATCCTCATTTTCTTCATCCATAATATTTTCGTTTATATTTTTTTTTATCATCATTATTTCAATCTTATTTTATCAACACCTTTTTCATCTACTTTTTTTTTATTAACATTTTTTTCATCCACATTTTTTTAAACCAAACTTTTCATTTTTTCTTCAACATTTTTCTCTTGTATTTTTTCTTAAACATATTTTCATTTAACATTTTTTTTACAAAAAAATTTCATCCAACATTTTTTTTTAATATTTTTTAATCAACATTTCATCCAAAAAAAATATAATTTATTTATTTCATCCTCATTTTTTCATACATGAATTTTTTCGCCCACATTTTCTTCGTCCACAATATTTTAAATATTTTACTATCAATATTATTTCATTCACATTTGTTTATCTACATTTGTTTCAACCAAACTTTTCATTGCCATTATTTTCGTTGACATTTTTTCATCTAACAATTTTTCATCCAACATTTGTTTCATCTAAAAAAAATTCATTTATCTTTTATTTCATTTACATTTTTTTCTTTATGCACAATATTTTCGTTAATATTTTTTTTATTATTATTATTCACGTTTTTTTACCATATTTGCATTTTCATTGCCATTATTTTCGTCAACATTTTGTTTCATCCAATTTTTCATCCATTTGTTTCATCCAAATAATGTATTATCATTTATTTCTTTCAAATTTTTTTCCTTCGCATTTTCTTCATTCACATTTTTTCTTTATCCATATTATTTTCGTAAATATTTCTTTATAAACATTTTTTCTAATTTTTTTACCAAATTTGTATTTATATTTTTTTCAATGTTTGCTTTTGTCCACATTTTTTTATAACCAAACTTTTCGTTGATGGCCGAATAATCTCTATACAGCCGAAGAACGGCCGAGTTTTCGAAAGTCGGCCGCTATTTTTACGCTAAACCACCCGTCCGTTTTTATCCGTTTTCTATTATAAAACGTTTTTAAAGATCTTACGTTTCGGCCGGCGTACTTTTTCTCGTTAAATATATAATTTGCTTTGATTGCATTTATTATTGATAGATTAATTCATACATACAACAAAATTATTTCTCAAATTTTTTTACATTTTTTCATCTAGAAATGTTTCATCTACATTTTTCCATCCACATTTTCTTTGTCTTCAATATTTTCGTTAATTTTATTTTTATCAACATTCAATTCACATTTTTTTATCCACATTAATTTAGTAATTTTTTTTATTTAACATTTTTTTGTATTACATTTTGTTATCCTTATTTTTTCTTCCAAATTTTTTTCAACCAACTTTTCATCAACATTTTTCTTTCAACATTTTTTCATACATTTTTTATTGCAGATGAAGAAAATGTTGTTGAAAAAAATTTTGGACAATATAATAAATAATGGATAAACATTTTTTTATCCTTCATTTGACTTTTAAAATTTAGGTCTAAACGTTTGTTTTTGACGTTTGTCTTTGACTCTCTGACGCCACACTGATACGGCTTAGTGAAACACCGTATTTTGTTTTAGCTCAAACCTCACAGAAATGATTGGCGAACTTTTCTTACCAATGGAAATGCCCGAAGCGCCGAAAGAAGGATTTTTCAAAGGACTTTTCGGCGGAGGTATTAGATCTCTAGATCGAGAAGAGTTATGTAAGTATCACTAAGGTTTCGGCCGACATACTTTTTCTCGTTAAATATATAATTTGCTTTGATTGCATTTATTATTTATTGATAGATTAATTCAAACATACAACAAAATTGTTTTAAATTATTTAAACTAAAATCAGACGAATTGTTTCGCACCAAAGGGCAGCCGAATTGACGGCTGACTTATCTAGAGTCTTCTAACTTGACAGCCGACTTATCTTAAATCAACCGACTTGGTGGCCGAATAATCTCGAATCGGCCTAAGGACGGCCGGCTTTTCTAAAGTCGGCCGCTATTTTTACTTGAAACCACCCGTCTGTTTTTATCCGTTTTCTATTATAAAACGTTTTTGTAAAGATCTTACGTTTCGTCCGACGTACTTTTTCTCGTTAAATACATAATTTACTTTGATTGAATTTATTATTGATAGATTAATTCAAAAATACAACAAAATAGTTCTAAACTATTTTAAACTACAATCTAACGAATTGTTTCGCACCAAAGGGCGGCCGAATTGACGGCCGACTTATCTAGAGTCTTCTAACTTAACAGCCGACTTATCTTGAATCGACCGACTTGATGGCCGAATAATCTGGAGTCGGCCGAAGGACGGCCGATTTTTCCAGAGTCGGCCGCTATTTTTACGTGAAACCGCCCATCCGTTTTTATCCGTTTTCTATTATAAAACGTTTTTGTAAAGATCTTACGTGTCGGCCGGTGTACTTTTTCTCGTTAAATATATAATTTACTTTTATTGCATTTATTATTAATAGAATAATTCAAAAATACAAAAAAAAATAGTTCAAAACTATTTTAAACTAATATCAGACGAATTGTTTCGCACCAAAGAGAGGCCGAATTGAAGGTTGACTTATCTAGAGTCTTCTATCTTAACAGCCGACTTATCTTGAATCGACCGACTTGATGGCCGAATAATCTCGAGTCCGCCGAAGGACGGTCGACTTTTCGAAAGTCGGCCGCTATTTTTACGTGAAACCACCCGTCCGTTTTTATCCGTTTTCTATTATAAAACGTTTTTGTAAAGATCTTACGTTTCGGCCGACGTACTTTTTCTCGTTAAATATATAATTTGCTTTGGTTGAATTTATTATTGATAGATTAATTCAAACGTACAACAAAATTGTTCTAAACTATTTTAAACTAAAATCAGACGAATTGTTTCGCACCAAACGGCGGCCGAATTGGCGGTCGACTTATCTAGAGTCTTCTAATTTAACAGCTGACTTATCTTAATTCGGCCGACTTGATAGCCGAATAATCTCGAGTCGGCCAAAGTTCGGCCGATCTTTCCAAAGTCGGCCGCTACTTTTACGTGTAACCACCCGCCTGTTTTTATCCTTTTCTATTATAAAACGTTTTACAGTTGGCGAATCGAGCGGAAAACCCAGCAAAGCGGTAGCCAAGCACATTCCGGGCAGTCTCGTCGACCTCAACCAGCGCTCCAGTTCGGCGTGCAGCGAGGTCAACAGAGCGCACAAGCTCATGCTGGAGCGCGGCGAAAAGCTGGGCCAGCTCGAGGACAAGGCCGAAAAGATGCGTAACGAGGCCGAAAACTTTTCGTCGTCGGCGCACGAACTAATGCTCAAATACAAGGAAAAAAAATGGTACCAGTTGTGAAGTGCTTCATTATTTTTCTGTAGTTTTTACATTCCAATGAAGAGCGTTACGTTATTATATATATATTGGTAAAAACAAAACTGTACAGATTTTCGTACTAGGTATGTAGTGTTGCTAGTTTATAGGTGAATGAGTAAGTGGCAGAAAACGTTACCTAACTACGGGCAAACTTTACTTTTATCAAAATATTGGCTTTATTTTTCTATAAATTTTGACTTTTTTAAGAATTTACTTTTTCAAAAATTTTACTTTTTCGTTTCTCGAAACATTTATATTTTCTTTAAACATTGACTTTATTTTTCTCAAAATTTTAAAGTTTTTTATCAAAGATTTGACTTTATTTCTTAAAATTTTGACTTTATTAAAAAAAATTGTCCTTTTGGCCCCAATACAAAACGATTTGCCACTTATTCATTCTTATACTTCTTGAACTTAAATGCAAATTGTGATATTCTATTTCTGCCCGTATAAGGACGGATTGCGATGACTTTAAAACTAAACTGTAGATGATTTAATGTCTAAAAAAAAAAAACACATGGTTTTCTACCCTTAAAAAAACGTTCCGTAAGTAAATGTATTTTAAAGAGCTTGGTGTATAAATACTTAAAATTTGCAAATTTGACTTTATTTTTCATTAAATACTGATTTTTTTCATATTGACTTCTAAAAATTGTGTCTTCGTGTTTTAAAATGTGGACTCTAGATTTCTCAAAACATTGACATTATTTTTTACAAAATATTGAATTTGTGTTTCTCAAAATTCTAACATTTTCTCAAAATGTTGACTTCGTGTTTCAAAATTTTGACTTTTTTTCAAAAATCTAACATGTTTCTCAAAATATTTCTTAAAACATTGACTTTATTTTTCTCAAAATTTATAAATATTTCGACCTTTTGAATGTTTTTTGAATGAAATGTTAACTTTTTAAATAATTTCAAAATTTAATTTTTTTCTCAAAATATTGACTTCTCAAACATTTGACTTTTTTTCCAAAGGTTGACTTCGTGTTTCAAACGTTTGACTTTTTTTTTCAAAAATTTAACGTTTTTCTGAAAATATTGACTCTTAAAACATTGACTTTATTTTTCTCAAAATATTGAATTTGTTTCTTCTCTAATTTTTTTTTGTACGCTTTTTTATGAGTTGTAAATTTTAATATTTCAGTAGATTTATATGCCAAGCTCAAGATTCGTTTATTATTATACCGGTTGTTCCCTCTATAGGGTGCTTGTACTGAAAAAACTTGTTTATAAAAAAATTAAAGCACAATCCACTGGGAAACGATGGATCTTTTTTAGTAGCAAGCAACTTTTTACCATTGTTACTGAACGTTATTTTACTACCAGTGGTAGATATAATAAGTGTCGAATACAATTTTACTACTTGTAACTTTTGCTTTCGGCTTGCTTATTTTTTTTAACCTTATTTTTTATTTTGTTTCTTAACATTTTTAAGTCTGTTCTCATTTATTTTATATTATAAAAAAATATATATAATATATCGAAAAAATTATCTAATGGCATTTTGGTTTCATGAAATCATGTCATTTAAAAGAGAAGATTCAAAATTTCATTAAAAAAAATGTAGTTTACCTATACATTTAAGTTTATTATAAATTAACGTATAATTTTCTAAATATATCAAAAATAAATGATGATAAATTTGGAAATATGATTCTTAACTTGACAGCCGACTTATCTTGAATCGACCGACTTGATGGCCGAATAATATCGTGTCGGCCGAAAGACGGCTGACTTTTCCAGAGTCGGCCGCTATTTTTACGTGAAACGACCCGTCCGTTTTTATCCGTTTTCTATTATAAAACGTTTTTGGACAGATCTTACTTTGATTGCATTTATTATTAATAGATTAATTCAAAAATACAAAAAATAGTTCCAAACTATTTTAAACTAATATCAGCCGAATTGTTTCGCATCAAAGAGCGGCCGAATTGAAGATTGACTTATCTAGAGTCTTCTAACTTAACAACCGACTTATCTTGAATCAGCCGACTTGATGGCCGAATAATATCGAGTCGGCCGAAAGACGGCCAACTTTTCCCAAGTCGGCCGCTATTTTTACGTGAAACCACCCGTCCGTTTTATCCGTTTTCTATTTTAAAACGTTTTTGTAAAGATCTTACGTTTCGGCCGGGGTACTTTTTCTCGTTAAATATATAATTTGCTTTACCTGCATTTATTATTAATAGATTAATTCAAAAATACAAAAAATAGTTCCAAACTATTTTAAACTAATATCAGCCGAATTGTTTCGCATCAAAGAGCGGCCGAATTGAAGATTGACTTATCTAGAGTCTTCTAACTTAACAACCGACTTATCTTGAATCAGCCGACTTGATGGCCGAATAATATCGAGTCGGCCGAAAGACGGCCAACTTTTCCCAAGTCGGCCGCTATTTTTACGTGAAACCACCCGTCCGTTTTATCCGTTTTCTATTTTAAAACGTTTTTGTAAAGATCTTACGTTTCGGCCGGGGTACTTTTTCTCGTTAAATATATAATTTGCTTTAACTGCATTTATAAATAATAGATTAATTCAAAAATACAACAAAATTGTTCTAAACTATTTTAAAATAAAATCAGACGAATTGTTTCGCACCAAAAAACGGCCGAATTGATGGTTGACTTATGTGGAGTCTTTTAACTTAACAGCCGACTTATCTTGAATTGACCGACTTGATAGCCGGATAATATCGAGTCGGCCAAATGACGGCCGACTTTTCCAGAGTCGGCCGCTATTTTTACGTGAAACCACTCGTCCGTTTTTATCCGTTTTCTATTATAAAACGTTTTTGGAAAGATCTTACGTTTCGGCCGGCGTACTTTTTCTCGTTAAATATATAATTTACTGTGATTACATTTATTATTAATAGATTAATTCAAAAATACAAAAAATAGTTCCAAACTATTTTAAACTAATATCAGCCGAATTGTTTCGCATCAAAGAGCGGTTGAATTGAAGATTGACTTATCTAGAGTCTTCTAACTTAACAACCGACTTATATTGAATCAGCCGACTTGATGGCCGAATAATATCGAGTCGGCCGAAAGACGGCCAACTTTTCCCAAGTCGGCCGCTATTTTTACGTGAAACCACCCGTCCGTTTTATCCGTTTTCTATTTTAAAACGTTTTTGTAAAAATCTTACGTTTCGGCCGGGGTACTTTTTCTCGTTAAATATATAATTTGCTTTAACTGCATTTATAAATAATAGATTAATTCAAAAATACAACAAAATTGTTCTAAACTATTTTAAAATAAAATCAGACGAATTGTTTCACACCAAAAAACGGCCGAATTGATGGTTGACTTATGTGGAGTCTTTTAACTTAACAGCCGACTTATCTTGAATTGACCGACTTGATAGCCGAATAATCTGGGGTCGGCCGAAGGACGGCCGACTTTTCCAAAGTCGGCCGATATTTTTACGTAAAAGCACCCGTCCGTTTTTATCCGTTTTCTATTATAAAACGTTTTTGTAAAGATCTTACGTTTCGGCCGACATAATTTTTCTCATTAAATATATATTTTGCTCTGATTTCATTTATTATTGATAGATTAATTCAAACATACAACAAATTTGTTCTAAACTGTTTTAAACTTAAATCAGACGAATTGTTTCGCACCAAAGAGCGACCGAATTGTCGGTCGAATTGACAGTTGACTTATATAGAGTCTTCTAACTTAACAGCTGACTTATCTTGAATCGACCGACTTGATGGCCGAATAATCTCGAGTCGGCCGAAGGACGGCCGATTTTTCTAAAGTCGACCGCTATTTTTACGTGAAACCGCCCATCCGTTTTTATCCGTTTTCTATTATAAAACGTTTTTGTAAAGATCCTACGTTTCGGCCGACGCACTTTTTCTCGTTAAATATATAATTTGCTGTGATTGTATTTATTATTGATAGATTAATTCAAAAATACAATAAAATTGTTCTAAGCTATTTTAAACTAAAATCAGACGAATCGTTTCGCACCAAAAGGCGGCCGAATTGACGGCCGACTTATCTAGAATCTGCTAACTTGACAGCCGACTTATCTTGAATCAACCGACTTGATGGCCGAATAATCTCGAGTCGGTCGAATTTCAAGTCTATTTTCATTTATTTTATATTATAAAAAAATATATAATATATCGAAAAAGTTACCTATCTAATGGCATTTTGGTTTCATGAAATCATGTCATTTAAAAGAGAAGATTCAAAATTTCTTTTAAAAAAAATGTAGTTTATCTATACATTTTTGTTTATTATAAATTAAAGTATAACTTTCTAAATATATCAAAATTAAATGAAGCTTGGAAATAAGTTTCATTATTTTTGTTGTTTAGTTATCACAATATTATAGAAATAATTTATTGACAAGAATTGATTAATTGTTAAATGTTTACTTAAAGCTATCACTAATTTAAAAAGAAAATCATTTCGCATGTATATAATATGCTGTAGTTGTAGAAAAAAGTAGTCAATGTAAATATGTACTAAAAAAAATTTGTTCTTTTTATCTGATAAAAAACATGTTATAAGTATTTGTAAGACAATAAGGTATGTGTAAAAAAAGGTAAATTTTTCTTTTTTTTTTTAAAGAGGTACAACTTAATTCCCGCTATCTAAGTTTATTTTTATCGCATATTATATTTATATTTAAACAAAAAAAAATGGATTTCTCTGATATCTGTTGAGTAAATGTTACCGAAGCATATCAGTACGAGCAACCTGTGTACCTACGAATGGAATATTTTATTATAAAATTGTTGATCTGACGTGTATAGTTTATTTTATATTTTAATTACGCACTAAGGCATAATTTTACAGAGAAATTCAATTTTAAATTAAATTTCAAATTATTTTTAATAATGTTGGATTTTTATGAATGACAGGAACAAGTTACGAAAATGTCCGAAATTGACAAATGATGACTGACAGCTTGGCTAATTACGGAGTCAGTTAAGGAGCTCATGACATTTTTGAATTTTTAAGACATCGTAGTTTTATTTTCTTTTAATCATTTTTGTTTTTGAATTAATTTAGGAGAATTATTTATTTTAAATAAAACAATATCAAAAAGTTCAAATAAACGCGGTATATTAGTTTTTTTTATTATTTATTTAATACAAAAACATTTTTTGATGCCAAAATATATTGGATGAAAGTCACACATTACCCTTTCAAAAGACATAAATATAACAAATATATTAAGTGTCCCAAATAACTTAAGATCCTAAATCTACTTAATATCTCAAAGAAAATATAAAAGTGTCCCAAATATCCCAAATATTCCAAATGTCCCAATTATCATAAATGTTCACAGCGTCATGAATATCTCAAATATCATAAATGTCCCAAATATCCAATCGGTCGAATAGTAACTAATATCTTAAGTGTCCCAAATGTCACATATTTCATTAATATTTCAAATTTTCCGAATAATAATGTCCCAAATATTGTAAATGTCACAAATATCATAAATTGATAATGATATTAATGTCCCAAATATTTTAAATGTCACAAATATCCTAAATGTGCAAATGTCCTAAATATACATCTGTCCCAAATGTCTTAAATTCTCTAAATATCCCAAATGCCAAAATACTATAAATATCCAAAATATCATGAATGTCCCAAATGTTCCAAATGTCCCAAATATCCTAAATGTTCCAAGTATCCCAAATTCAGGGTCTTAAACATACCAAATGT